AAGGGTTAAGCCTCTGCCTTCGGCTCAGGTCATGATCTCAGGGTCCTGGGATCAAGCCCCGCATTGGGCTCTCTGCTCAGCAGGGAGCCTGCTTCCCCTCTCTCTCTCTGCCTAGCTCTCTGCCTACTTGTGATCTCTCTCTCTCTGTCAAAAAAATAAATAAAATCTTAAAAAAAAAAAAGGACCATTTCAAAAGATAAAGAGAAAAGCCAATCTGTCAAGAGGACATAATAATCCTAAACATTAATGCACCTAACAATAGAGCTTCAAAATACATGAAGCAAAAATTTATGGAATAGAAAGAAATAAACACACCCACAACTATAGCCAGAGATTTCAATACCCCTTTCAATATTTGATAGAACACGTAGAATAAAAATCAGTAGATACACAAAGTTAGAACAACACTACCAACCTACTTGACCTGACAATTGTGGAATACTCTTCCAACTACAGCAAAATACACATTGTATTGAAGTACACACAAACTGCTTACCATAATAGGTCCTATTCTATGCCCATAACACAACTCAAAACTCTAAAGTTATTCATACAATACGAAGTGTGTTCTCTGATTATAATGGCATTAAATTTAACTCAATTACAGAAATGTGGAAAATTCCCAAATATCAGAAACTAAATAACACACTTCTAAATAATACTTAAGTCAAAAAATGAATTCAGAGGGAAATGAGAAAGTACTTTGACTTGAATGAAAATGAAAATGCAATGTATCAAAATTTGTGGGATACAGCTGAAAGTGTTTTTTGTTTTTGTTTTTTAAAGATTTTATTTGTTTATTTGACGGAGAGACAGCGAGTGTGGGAGCACAAGCAGGAGAAAGCAGGCTTCTTGCCCACCAAGCAGGGAGCCCGATGTGGGGCTTGATTCCAGGACACTGGGATCGTGACCTGAGCTGAAGGCAAATGCTTAACAACTGAATCACCCAGGTGCCCCTGAAAACACTGTTTAGAGGGAAATTTATAACACTAAACATCTCTGCTTGGAAAAGAAGAAAGATCTCAAATCTGTAATTGCTGTTCTACCTTAGGAAACTAAAGAAGGACAAATGAAATACAAATTAAGAAGAATAAGGAAATAATAAAGATTACAGCAGAAACCAACTAAAAAAGAAAACAGGAAAGCAACAGAGAAAAATAGTAAAACCCCAAACTAGTTTTTGAAAAGATGCATAAAACTGATAAATGTCTAGACAGGCTAAAGCAAGTTGGATTTGGGGGTTGAGCACAGAAAAAGATATGACCACCAGGTGGCAGTAGCACATAATGAACTTTATTTGACTAACACCTGGACAGGTTGGCATGATGAGGGAAGTCCTTCATAGGATAAAACTGTTCATCCAAAGGGAGAAGAGGAAAAGCAGAGAGAAAGAGTGCTTGTGTGTTTAGATGATATCACTCAGTAGCAACACTGAGAGTCTCTGGAACATGGAACATGAACTGCTTTATAGCTGCTGGCTTTATCTATGGCTAGAAGAGGTTAGGTGTGGTTTCCTGGGGTACACATACCAGATAGCCTGCAAATGGCTAAAAATCTTCTTATTTGAGTTATGTTTCAAACTCTTGTATGGGTAAAATTTGAGTTTGGCAACCGCAGGCTTTTGTGCTTATGGGTCCCAGGCTGCTATTACTAAGTTAAACAACAGAAGGCCAATATACAAGAGGTTATCTTTGGCTCATAATAATAATCCATCCCTCGGGCCCACGTTGCTTTATAATTTTAGTTATATGTAAATGAATTATGCTTTAGTTTGGAGCCCATGGAAAAGCATTTTGAAGTCCCAGAATCCAATGAGAGTAAAAACAAGGATTTCAAAGCCCATTTGCAGCCAGTCTGTCAGAAGACGTAGAAAATTGATTTGTTCAATTTGCTTAATCTATAAACTGTTATTAAAGGGAGCCCCTTTAATGCATGTCCCTGGCTATCTTTAAAACATGTAGCAACATGTGTTAAGTGTGCAGAACCCACTTCCTGCAGCAGCCATAAGTGATCTAGGACTAAATGATGATACATACACCAGTGGCTGTGGAGTTGACACTGGCAAGGACAGGAACTTGGGTAAGGAAAACACACAGCAACAGAGAAGGGGTTGAAGTCCGAGTCATCTGCACCCAGCAGTAGAGGAATGTCTTCTGGGCATTGTCCTAATTGTGCTGGCCAGTCTGGGATGATGAGTTCGATCCCACAGGTATCCATTGCAGATTCAGACTTGTTCCTCAGTGTCATCAGTGGAGCAAAGTACTTGGATGGCAGACGACAGTGCCTTTCTCTCCAGATGGTGGCAGGCAGTCTGCTTAGCTAAATGCTGGATGATGAGTGGACACAGGCTAAGGACAGTCACAGAGTTGGTTCATGTCCAGTCCTCATCCCACATTTTGCTGAAGTTCTGATCAAACAGAACTTTTTGGTGAGCCCATTAACCCGCAACCAGGAGTTGGTAAAAATATAAATTTTAGGAAAATGTTTGTCAAGGGCATATGCTATTTCTGGAATAGTGTACTCAGCTCAGCCCATTGGGTGCTTTGGGCTCTCCCCATACAGAAACTGGAGTATGTGAATATGGGCCATAGACTGAGACTGCCCACTGTTTGGCTCCTTTAAGCCCTGTGCCCACTCCATTCATAAAGAGACCTTTGATTTTTTCATTTTCTGAGTGCTGGCCACCTTACCTCTAATCCCCATTGAGAAAGGAATGAGACCTGCTGGAGACTTCGGCAAGTTAACGTAGTGGCAAGGTATGTGGCCCTTTCCTTCTGGAGTTATGACACTGCACAGGGCCAGGTTAGGCTTGAGCCTGTAGATAGCATTTCCATCTTAATCCAGCTGCAGCTTCAATTTTACAGAGAGCTTTTTTCCATTATCCAGAGCATGAGAAGACTCTCACTCCATCAGTAATTGGCTCTGCCAGGATTCAAGGCTAGGTCTGGGCAAACTCCAGAGCCTGAGCATGTAATACTGTTTCTAGCTGAGGTAAAGGAAATATAAAGCCACATATCACCAAACCCAATGCTCAATTAAGTAGTGAGATTGAAAACACATAGGAAACTGAAAAATAATCACAATGAGGTAGGCTCACCTATTAAGCTACTTACCGTGTGCTGGACATCCTGAGCACTTTCATCTTCATGACCTCTCTGTGCAGTGGGCATCAATGCCTTCAAGGAGGAGGAAACCAAGGCTTAGGAGTTGAAGTGAATTTTGCCCTAGACCCCATAGCCCACGGGTAGCAGAAGGAGAACAGGACTTGGGGTCATGTGACCGCAAAGCACCCTTTCTTGCCACTTTCATTCTCATTCCCATCCTGCCACCGTAAGTGATCTCAATATGTCCCTGAGTGAGCAGATGAAAAGAAGACCACCATGAAGAGTCCCACTCCCTTCCCCACATGAATACCACTGTGGCCCTGTGCTACCTGAGCTGGGATGTGGTGTGAGGCAAATTCATTCTTCCCCTCTGCCTTCCCAACCAGAACCTGGGACACTGCTGACCAAGGAGGGGAGAACAAAGATAGTGAGTAGCTGGGGCTCTCCATCTTACCCTGGCCCTATTCCCTGGGTCCTCCTGTATGTAGATTTGCCCTTTGTGCACACGGGCACTTGGCAAAGGTCTGCAACCAAGATCCTCACCACCAGTGTGCTCTGTGCTAGCTACCACTCTAAAGTGAAGGGCTCCTGCAGGGGTAACGGCCGGGAGCCCTGACTGGGTTTCACCTGGCCACTTAGTGAGTGCTGTGAGCTGGGCAAAAGGCTGGGCTGAAATGGGTCTATATCAAGTTTCTGATCACATTTCATGGATAAGGGTGATCACTGTGGCTGTGATTCCAGATGGGGTTGTGGAAGCCACTGGGGAAAAAAGCAGCCAAGTAGGCTGAAGGGGCTTCCAACCTGACATTTTACTCAGACATTTACAGAAGAAAATGGTGCAAGAATTCTCATGCCCTTGAATATTTTTTTTAAACCAAGAAAATGTCAAAAACTTCCCTGGTTGGTTTAGACATATGTGTATGATATGTCAGAACAAATGATCTGAAAACAACATAATACCCATCCAAAGATGTCCCTACTGAGAAGATTCCTAGCATTCACATCTGGCATTCCCAAAGATTCCACCCCAAGTCTACTGCGTATCTTTCTTGGCAGCAACTTGAAGAACTACTTAGTAGCTGATGTCTGTCAGCTCTGTGACTCCAATTGGAGCTCTGGCCTTATTTGGAGCCAGACCTTAATTGGAGCACCCAGACCAGCATGGGTCATCTCCCTTCCTCGGGGAGCCACAGGTACAGCAGATCACCCTCATCCTTCATCTTCACCACTTCCATGCAGCTTTCCCCTAGATGCTCTGTCCTCATTAATGGTACCCCATCCTCCCATTCACCCAGGCGTAGCACCTTCTTTCTCTGACTCTGACAGCCAATGCGGAGCAAGCTCCAGCAGTTCTCTCTCCGAAGATCTTCCTGTTGTCTCCCCTTCATTCGCAAAGTTACTATCCTACTCAAGAACTCCATCTCCCATCAGGGACACTACAACCACATAGTTAATCCCTGCCCCCACTACCCCCTGCTTCAAGCCATGAAATTTTTCTTTCAGATCGAAGCATATTCAGAAGCCCAATACAGTAGCAAAAGCAAGCTACTCTGGAAGGAGGAAAGAGAAAGGAATCAGGAACAGGTATGCAAACCTGTGTCCTCTAAGGCCACCTTCTAAGTGTCATACACTCCTACCTCATCTCTTTTCACACTTCCTTGAATCTCTGCTGTTACCTGAATACACATGGTAAGGTTTCAATCCTTGGGATATAGTGTTTCTTCTGCTCACAATGTCTTCCCTGCTTGTCTGCCCAGCACATAGTTATAGCTTGAGATCTGGAACCAGAAAAAGCCAAGTTTTGAATCTCAGTTCCAAGTACTAGCTCTATGACCTTGGTGCTTTCTGAGCCTATTTCTGCATCCTTAAGATAAAGGTAATATTAGCAGTTATGTCAGAAAACTGTTAACAGCCTTAAATGATACTGTATTCATTGTTTAATGGAGAGATGGCACACAGGAAACACTCAATAAATGTTCACCATTGTAATCATCCTCGCCCACAGGAATCAACTCAACACTGCCCCCTTTGTCTTGATCCTTTCCTGTTGCACCCCCTGTAAACTCAGTACAATGCATTTCTAGTTAAGTTTGCCTTTCGGTGTCCCTCCTCATATTGTGACCTAATTGAGGACAGAAGCTAGCTTGTTCATCTTTGGTCCTCTGCTATCCAGTATATCCAGCACCTACAGGGCTCAGTGTTTGTTGAATGAATTGATTAATGAATGAAGGCAGGCAGGCAGTAGGGGCCATTCATGAATCAAGTTTACAGAGTATATACTATGTCACAGACATTGTTCTGGTTGCTGGTGATACATCAATAGATAAAACTAATGGAGTTCCTGCCCTTATGGAGCTCCCACTCTAATGAGAAAGGTACACTCAATAACAAGTAAATATATAGTAAGTTAGTGCAAAGTGCTTCAGGGAAAAATAAAGTGAGGGGCAGGTGTTGCTTTCTCATATAAGAAAGTTAGGCAAGGTGTCACCAACAAGGTGACATTTGAACAGAGAGCAAACAGAGAGAGAGAGCAAGGTCGGTGGATATTTGAGGAGACAGGGCAGGAAAATGTGATCCAGACTCAGAATAGCTGGGTGCACATGAAAAAAGAGAAGCTGGCCAGTGGGTGCTGGAGAGCAGTGAGTGAATGGAAGAGTGACATGACATGAGAGCAGAGTGGCTGTGGGGCTGTGGAGTACAGACCATGGGCCATGTGCGGCCCAGAGTCTTTAATGAAGATACAAGCTAGATACAAGCTATACTAATTGATTACTTTCTTGAGTGTCTCAAAAATCCTGTTCACTTACCCATTTTAAAATGTAGTAGAAAGGAAAACTTTCCTAGCCTTAATCAGCCATGAGTACAAATGAAGTTGTTTCATGTTAATTTCTGAATCTCAATGGCTTTGTGTGCTCATCTATGCAAATGTAGGGAGTCCTACCTCAAGGAAAATCCTTCCTTCTCAAATATTCTAGGAATCCTAAGGGTGCACATGATCCTAAGTGGGTTGCTATGGCTGCTCAGGTCAAGCTTTTGCAGCTTTGGGCCTGATGATCCCACAGATGTACCCCAGGAGGGAGGACCACTCCTGTCATTGTGCCCTAAATTGGTTGGCCAGAGGAGCTGCCATTCCAGGACTCCGAAGGGCTATGAGGCTAGAGTGTTCCTTTTGCATACAGATGACCAGCACAACTTTCTGAACTCCAGCATTATAGCATCCATCAACACAGCTCAGTTCACACCCACAGACTCAGGATATACTGGGACCTTCAGCTTGCCTCCAACATTCTATCCTCCTGTGAAGAGGGGCATGCCCTGTCAGACTGCTCCTTCTCTTACAGTGAATTTTCTCTTGGGGCTCCCAGATCTCTGCAGGTGGGCCTCTGCCTGGGCCACTTCAGCCCATAAGTCCTATCCATAGTCAAACCCAATAAAGGACAAAATTCAAGACTTTCCCCCAGGATCCTCAGCCCTAACAGACATCAGTAGTATAACATTTGAAGGAGGTTATCACCGAACTATTTAGCAGTATGGCTGAATCTCAGCTCTTCCCCAGCCATTAGGCTATTAACCTTATCAGTGTCCTGAGGTCTCCCATGTATTATTCAAGGTATGGTATCTTGAGTGGTAACAGCAAAACCTGGAAAAGAATGGGCACAGGTATTCACTTCAGATGGTACTAGTTTAAACAAGATCCAAGAACAACTACAGGCTCAACACAAAAACTCTAAGCATCTATATAAATCCTAGTATTTCACTCAGAAAACACTGCAGCATAACTGAAAGCTTTGAAGGCAGAAAGAATGGACTCTGGATCCATGGATGGTTTGCTACTTATAGTATGACTTTGGGCAGTCATTTCACTTTGAACACATTTTTCTCACTTATGGAAAGATAACAGTGCCTTTATGTGAAACCTAAATAGGGTGATTAACTGATCACCATGAAGGCACGAGGCCCAGCTGTAGTTCCTCTCTCTTTCAGCAGAGACATGCACAGGACTTACACGGTTTTGCTTTAAAATTTTTTAAAACGGAAATTGGTTGATATGAATCAATTTCATTCCAAATTCTGCTCTAAGGATAACCTGATGATGCTGAAAGTCTACCAAATTTGATCCTTTTTTAAATATAATACTAAACAACACTATTTCTTAGGAAACTCCTGAATGACTTTTTCCACCTCAAGATTCTCTGACTTCCTCAATAAAAACAGAATAGCAACACTTAGGAATGTCCAGAAGATAAAAGCCAAGAACTACAAGTCTGACAATAAAAACTACCAAATACTTCATGTAGAAAAAAAATCCAGCTGATAAGGTGGCCAGGGATCTGCATTCAGACCTGACCTTGAATTCTGGCTCTGCCACTCACCAGCTGGGTGGCACCTTGATCTCTGTGCACCATTACCTTTATCTGTAAAGCAGGGACAATAACATCTCATAGAATGAAGTATAATCAATGTCAAAATATGAAGTGCCATGTTAGGTCAGCTCAACAAACTGAATGGTGACAACCAGATGGATGTGGTCCTTGACCCCCGTGAGCCCACGGACTCTGATTTGGTCCTACTTCCTCCTGACATGGGTTTCAGAAGAGACCAGCTTGGAATGGCTGTCCATAACTACACTGGTCAACTACCAGGGTAAGTTCCTCAAAAGGCCAGCACTTAACTGACCTCTGCTGGTCTCACATAGAACTAGTGTGCAGAACTCTATGTCTATACTATCTCTAGCCAAAAAAGTAACTTCTTTCTCAAAACACAAGAAAGAAAAGAATTTAAAAAAAAAATCACTCCTTCTCCAAATTCAAAGGACAGGAAAGCATAAACTCTCTCCTTTTTTCTCCTCTCAAAACCATGAACACTTATTTCCCCGACGCAAAGAGAACCACACATTTTGGGAGACCAAACTCTCTTTACTTTCAATCCACTGTCTTTTAAACATGTCATCATCATAAAACATTTACAAAGTATTTTGTTTAAAGCCTCACCCATTGCTCTCTAGTCAAATAAACCCAAGGAATAACTAGTTATCTTAGGGCCTGACACATTTTGAGCCTCCCTTGGTGCATCCGTAACTGCAGCTCCACCATGGAAAGAACACAAAGGTCCAGGGCCCCAGGCTTTGTAAGAACTGAGCTAGTCCTGGGGAGCACAGACCGAAACCCTCATCTCCTAGAGGGAGGGTTGTTCTCACAAGTTGCTCCTTCAAATCCTGCTTTAAAGCAGCAAGAATATTTTTATATTATTTAAGGGGTTTTTTGTTGTTGTTATTATTATTATTATTTTTTTTTAAGAGAAGAGCAGCAGAGGGAGAGGGAGAGTCTCAAACACACTCTACACTGAGCTTGGAGCCAGATGAGGGCCTTGATCTCATGATCCTGAGATCATGACCTGAGCCAAAACCAAGAGCGGAACACTTAACCAACTGTGCCACCCAGGTGCCCCAAAGCAGTAAGAATGTTTTCTTTTTCTTTTTTTAAAAAGATTTTATTTATTTGACAGACAGAGCTCACAAGTAGGCAGAGAGGCAGGCAGAGAGAGAGGAGGAAGCAGGCTACCCTGTGGAGCAGAGAGCCTGATGTGGGGCCCAATCCCCCCCAAAATTTTTTTTTCATTACCCTGGGATCGAGTCCCGCATCAGGCTCTCTGCTCAGCAGGGAGCCTGCTTCCCTCTCTCTCTCTGCCTGCCTCTCCATCTACTTGTGATCTCTCTCTCTGTCAAATAAATAAATAAAATATTTAAAAAAAAATGAACATATGAAATGCACATGTGGAGCTCAATGGTACCAAAATCAGCCAACTTGAGATAGCTCGCTATAGAATCATGCATTTTTGCAACATTTCCAGCCCACGTCAACACTACACAATTCTACCTCTCAGGACTACTCTAACATCTCAGCACAACTTTTATATACACGTAATCTATACTCACTTCACTCCACACTACATTCTACCTGTGCATCTGAGGTTGTAAGACTTCTGCTACCACGAGAGGGAAGATCACAACAACAGAGGCAGTATGGAGCTTGGCCTGACAATCTCTGCCTGAGAAATAGTAGTATACAGCTAGGTAGGGAGAAGGCAATTTGAAAACAATGGTTAATCTGATGTTCTCCCCCCAAATTATATTTTACTAGTAAAGGGGTCCCTCTCTGGCTCCCAGGGCACAATCTCTGCAGGCCAGAAGGCAGTCAGATGATATAATTAAAGTGATTCAAGAAAAAACCCATCAACCAAGAATTCTCTATCTGGCAAAACTATCCTTCAAAAATGAGGGAGAAAATAAGCCATTCCCAGATAAACAAACACTACGGAGACAAGCTCTACAAGAAATGCTAAAGGTGGTCCTCCAGGTTGAAAGAACACTAATAACTCAAAGCCATACAAAAATGTAAATTTTTCCAGCAGAGGTAAATACATGGACAAATATAAAACCCAGTATTATAACTTTTACAGAATTTAAAATAGAAAAGCGTTAAAAAATAACTATAAATCTGTTAGTAGGTATACAATATATTGTGCGTGTGTGTGTATATATACATATATAGAGATTTGTGACATCAATAACAAAGGCAGGTAGACTACAAAGTTTTTGTGATTGAAATTATTTAAAAATACAACTTAAGATGTCAGAAGTAACTGCCATAACTACAAAGAAAATGTCTATAGAATATACACTGAAATGTTGCTCAAAGAAATAAAAGAGATTACACAGGAAGACATCCTGTGTTCATAGACAGGAAGACTTCATACTGTTAAAATGTCAATACTTCCCAAAGTGATCTGTAGAACCAATGCAGTCCTTGTCAATACCCCAATGATGTTTCTTGAAGAAACAGAATAATCCCTCCTAAAATTCATATAAAGTCTCCAAGGACCCCAAATAGCCAAAACAATCTTGAAAAAGAACAAAGTTGGAAGACTCACACTTCCGGATTTCAAAATTTACAAAGCCATAGTAGTCAAAACAAGATCATGCTCTTTCCCTGCCACCACCAAGTTGCTCAGAGGCGGGGCTTCAGGTACACCCAAGATTGGGCTCTACCTTGGCCCACCACCATGGCTGAGGAAGGCATTGCTGCTGGAGGTATAATGGATGTTAATACAAGAGGTGCTGAAAACCACCCTCATCCACAAGGGCCTAGCACATGAAATTCACAAAGCCACCAAAGCCTTAGACAAGTGCCAAGCCCATCTTCGTGAGCTTGCACCAAACTGTGATGAGCTTATGTATATCAAGTTGGTCGAGGCCCTTTGTGCTGAACACCAAAATCAATCTAATTAAGATTGATGACAATAAGAAATTAGGCAAATGAGTAGGCCTCTATGAACAGAGAGGGAAATCCCACGTAGTTGGTTGCAGTTCTGCGGTGGTGAAGAACTATGGCAAAGAGTCTCAGGCCAAGCATGTCATCCAGGAATTCTTCAAAATCAAGAAATAAACAAGTGAAAAATTTGGTTCTTGTTCCTAAAACAAAAGTGTCATGCTGATGCTAGGATAGCCATACAGACTGATGGAAATGAGGCCAGAAATAAACCCTTATATATATGGCCAAATGATTTTTTACAAGGGTGCCAAGTGGGAATTAAGAGTGAAAAGGCAATCCACAAAATTAGAAAAATATCTGCAAATCATTCATCTGGTAAGTTATTATCCAGAATATATACAGAACTCCAACAACTCAAAACTTACTCTAAAAATAGGCAAAATATCTGAATAGGTATTTCTCCAAAGGTAGCAAAAGCATTAGTAAGAATATGAAAATATACTCAATGTCACTAATCAGAAAAATACAAATTAAAACCACAATGACATACCATCTTGCACCCAGTAGGATGATTACTATCAAAAAAACAAGAACAAACCCAAAAATAACCCCCCAAAAACCTAAACATAAATAAGTACTTATGATGATCCCTTTACTGTCTGGCACCATGTTTTAGCCTGTATCAGTGAAATCATGAGATAATTGGAGCTTACCCCATCAAATGTCAAAATACTGTAAGTTTAAATCTTTTTTTACTCTTACCTTTCTTGTTTGGAATTTTTAATGACCAGGTTCATCAACATTTGCTTCAATAGATGGCTATGCTTTTATTGCTCTCAGAAGTTTTTTTTTTAAGGCTATCTATATAAAGCAAAATGACTGTAGAAAGTACTGTTTCCACCTCCACCTAGCAGTTAGCAATCACCTGGTAACATTTTTATGCACCTGCCTTTTACAGTTCACTGCCCCATCTTTGCTAAGCTTGTTGAAAGTAAATGCGAGGCTGCCCAGGTGGCTCAGTTGGTTAAGCATCTGCCTTTGGCTCAGATCATGATCCCAGAGTCCCAGGTTGGAGCTCCCCCGCCAACTCCACTCAGCAGGCAGTTTGCTTTTCCCTCTCCCTCTGCTCTCCCCACCTCATGCTCTTTCTCCCTCTGTCTCTCAAATAAATAAATAAAATCTTAAAAAAAAAAAAAAAAAGTAAATGCAGAGATCCTGAGAGGACCTTTTGAGTAAGTGCATACACTTCAAGCCATTTTGGCTATTCAAAGGCTTTTATGGCATGTACTACTTTCAAGTTTTTTTGAAAATCAGTGTTGTCAAAAACCCTGTTCCAATTTGTATCAGAATTTCCATAATTAAAATGAATTACTGGTTCTTGAATTTAGTCATTTTGACTAAACGGAGGTTTTTCAAAATTAAATCTGCAGAGACTATTAAGTTTAAAG